TCATTTTGTATAGCACTGTCTTCTGACCTTTGTTGTAGATCTTTGTTGTAGTTATAACCTTAGTACGTACTGAAGTTCAGGTGCAGATCTACAAAGTCTGGATTTATCCAGCTGTGCCTGGCTTGGGTCTGGCTGCTGTGTTCAGCTCCTTCCTGCTGTTGCCCTTGAGTGTGAACCTGTTGTGCCCCTGTGGCAATATGTTCTGCTCCTGGACTAGCTGAGTAATTGTATCCTTTACCCTCTCTGTAGGGATTGCAGCTGCAGGGTTACACCCCAGGCCTGTATGCTGTATGAAAAATTTTCAATATCACTGGTAATTTGAGAAATGATGAACAACACTGAGATTCAATTTTACTTCAGAAAGAAGAGCTATCATCAAGAAGTCAACCAATAACAAATGCTAGAGAGAATGTGGGGGAAAAATCCTCTATATTTTTCATGGAGTTTAAATCGGTACAACCAAAGTAGAAATCAGAATAGCTAGTCCTCAAAATGTAAAGCCAAAGGTTCCTTTTGATCCAGCTTTCTCCTTTAAGCTATCTTCTCCAAGGAGCTAAAAGTATAATATCAATTATACATGCATACTCACACTTATAGCACCACAATAGCAGCATAATAGCAAAATCTTGGAAACAGCTTACACGTTCATCAATGGGTGAATGGATAAAGAAAATGTAGTATTTGTATATAATGTATTTATATACGTTGTCATATAAAAGAATAAACAATACTTTTTGGGTAAATGGGTGCATATCAGGATCATAATCTTGAGTGAAATTCTTCAGATACAAAAGTTTAAATACTGCATTGTTTTTCTTGTGTGAGAAATACAAAGTGTAAATATGGAGCAAAATGGAATTTTAATATTAGGAAATACAAGAACTTATTCAAATGGGAATGGAAGTTAGGGAAGGAAGAGCAGGAAGAGAAGGAAGAGGAATGGGATTAAAAGGAGATAATGGAGGGAAAAATGGAAAACAATTTTTAAATTGGGGGAAGGTTGAAAAGAATAGAAGGGAATGGGAAAAAATTAAGATAAATTATGTACAGGTATAAATTCTCCATAATGTGATGATTATGTATGCTAAATAGGTACTAACAAAAATAAATACAAAAAGAATTAGTTTAGCTCAAAAAATTAAAAAATAAAATGACAGTATCTGGATATAACCTATGTATGTCCTCCCATATAATTTATATTCTCTCTAGGTTAATTATAATACATAGTATAATGTAACATGCTTTGTAAGTAGTTCTTGCATGGTATGTTTAGGGGGAAAAACAGGATTAAAATTTTTCTGTGCATGTTCAGTATAAACACATTTTCTCAGACCTATGTTTAATCTGTGATTGATTGAATTGGCAATTGCAGAGTTTATAGGTAAAGAGAGCTGACTATATGTTCTAGGTACAGGTTCTTTCTTGGTTATATGGTTTGCAAATATGTTTTTCCAGTCTAGCTTGCCTTTCAATCTCTTAGCAGGGTGTTTTACTGAACAAATGCTTTTAATTTAGAGAAAGTTTTCAGGGTGTTGCTAAGTTCCTCAGGCTGGGGTCTTGGACTTGTGATTCTCTTGTCTCAGCCTCTCAGAGTACTGGAATTTCAGGCATGTCCATCAAACTCAGCTGAAGTATTTGTAATTTTGATGTTATCTAGTTTTGTAGTTTTTCTTTTTATTTGCTGTGTTTTTCTTGTTAAGTCTCAGAATCTCTTTCCTAGGTCTAAATCCTGATGATTTTCTTCTGCATTTTTGCATGTCTTTAATTTTTTTGTTTGCTTTTTACATTTAGGTTTTAGCCTATTTTGTGTTAATTTAGGAATACCACTCAGGTTGTGGTTATTTTTTAAAAAATTCCTGTAAATTGCCCAAGAATTATTGGAAAGGAAGTATGAAACATGTTCCTTATAACTGTGTAAAGGTCTTCTTCTAGTGTAAAGTTATTTTTAAAAACACTTAGTATTAGATATCAGTTTATTTTGTAGAATCTTAGCACCTTTTTTTTTTTTTTTTTTTAAACTGTAGGAAGTTTTAAAAAACTTTACTAATACAGAAGAAGTTGGGGGCTGGGGAGATGGCTCAGTAGAATCCTGGCAAGTGCAGAGTCCTAAGTTCCTAAGTTCAATCCTTGGTATTGCAAAAAAAAAAAAAAAAAAAAAGACAGAAGAAGTTGGTCTAAGGTTTTTTTTGTTGTTGTTGTTTGTTTTTTTCTTTTAATGTATTTGGTACAGGGTCTCACTATGCAGCTTGGACTCCTTGTGATCCTCCTGTTTTCACCCTCCCCAGCTCTGGGATTACAGGTGTGCACTACCATACCTAGTCTTGGTGGTCAGCTCAGCATGCCTGGGGGCAGGGCCAATGCAGCATGTGGTGCCAGGGCTCAAACCCTAGTCCCTGTGTTTGCCTAAGCAGGTGCTTAGTCTGCTGAGCTATCTTGCGCCCCAGAATTTAAAACCTTAAAACAATAAATGTTTATTATGTTTCACAGTTCCTGAAGAATAGAAATGTTATATAGCACAAAGCAGGATGGTTCTGTCTCAGCTATTTATTCTCATATAAATTGTAGTTAATTTGTAGGTAAGGGCTATATAGTCTTTCCAAGGCCTTACTAAATTTGCAGTCAGCAGATAGTCATTGCAGAACCCTTTTCTTTTGTTATCCTGTCTTCTCCTCACTGTGAGTCACTTCCTTTCTTTTTTTCCAGCACCAGCAGTTCCTCATTCTGCTCTCTTCCCTGGAGGTCTTTTTCTTTTCATTAGGGCATGTCTTGTAAGTCTGTGTTTGGGTTCATTTTTCTTTGCATAATCCTAGGAATCATAAATGCTGCCAAAGCCAGTTGTTTTGCCACCTCCAAAATGAGTTCTGAATTCAGATAAAAATGTAACATCTGGTAAAATCTTACACATTTTGGCTAAGTTTACTTGAATCTGACTTTAAGTGGACACATACACAAACACATGCTGATACAATTGTTAATAGGTTTCAGTTCTTGGCTGAGTTTTATCAAGACACAGGCCTTTCTGTGGATATCCCTGTGGTCATGTCGTGGCAGCTGGCTTCTCTCAGAGTAGATAAGCCAAGAGAGCGAAGGACGTGAAAGAGGAGGCTTCAAATGAAGGCATTAGTCTTTTATAATGTCTAAAAAGCAACATACTATCACTTCTGTCATATATTCTTGATCACAGAGACTAACATTGGTGAGAGCTACACAAAGATCTGAATGAAGAATCGCTAGTGGTTGCCTTGCACACTGACATCTCGAAAGACCAGCACATACTTACATTCTCAATTTATATCCAGAAACAATGCATTTTTATTTAAAAGTATGAGTAATATTTATATGTTCTGTGATTTTTTTGATGAATAAATATATTGTTATATTTATTTAGGAGATAACCTTTAAAAGTTTGTGATTAGGATTATTTTTTGAGTTTCTTTTAATTCAGTAGCATTTGCTATTTACTAATACATGACCTACAGAATTATTTTTGTATACTTAAAGCGTATGGACTAACATGTACAATAGATACTGTGAAATGGGAAGAAATTGTTCAAAAGCAAAGAAGATCTAGGGTAGTAGAATGGGGAAAGGAAGGAAGGAAAAAGGAAAAAACGATTATGAAAAGGATAAAGTGGAAAAAAAGCTTTGTGGAGGGGCCGGGGAGATGGCTCAGTAGAATAAGTGCTTGCCTGGCAAGCATAAGGGCCTGAGTTCAATCCCCGGTTCTGCAAAAAAAAAAAAAAAAAAGCTTTGTGGAGAGAAAGATAGGTTGAAGGGAGGAGAAAGGATTAGGAAAAAAGAGGAATCACAATATATAAGGTACAAATTTCGCATGATGAATATGATCATTATATCTAAAATGTATCGATAAACAATAGAAAAGAATTATTTCTGTAGCAATTTTAGAGTGAGATATTTTGCAGAATTTTCTTGTCAAGGATTTATTTGAAGGTGAGGTTTGTCTTATTTCTTCGCCCAGATATTTTATTGAATAGAAAAGATTTCCTTCCCATGTTAAATAGTAGGGAAGGAGTAGCAACTTATATTTGTATAATTTGGTTACATTTATAAAAGAAAAAAGTGCTTCCCCTTCATGTATGGAATAGCTAAGAAAAGTTTTTGGAGTCCATACTTAACTTAAGAGGTATCCTATAATAGTTTTCAATCTTTCAGGGGCTTCATAGACCCCTTCTTTGAAATTCATGAAAACAGTTGATTCTCTGTAGAGAAATGTGCTCAGGTACAACAAAGGCAGTTCACCAGTTAAGGGGGGCCTTTCAGAAAGACCATGGATTTTAGTTTGGGAACTCCTCTTTGTAAAGCTTGGACTTCTGATATTTTTTAAGAGCAGCGCTTTTTTACTTTCAATACATACAAGGAAACAGTATAGCTCTAATTGAAATACATATTTATTTTCATGTTATAAGGTTTCTAATGAACCTATTCTAATGATGGTTTTTATTTGTGAATTTTGCTTCTATTCTAGCATCTGGAGCATAAGAACAGTGCTTATTTTCTTCTTTTCCAAGAGAACAGAAAGAAATAGTAAGTTAAAATACCCATTTTTTATAAATATATTTTAAAATATCTTAAGCGTCCTTATTTATAAGGCAAATTGTAAAATAGTATATTGTAAGAGCAGTGTACTAAATATTGAAGGATTGTTCATTATGCTTGTGATGAAACATGTCGAAGAAAAGGAATTTTCAGTACTTACATATATCATTTATCTTACATATTTCATTTGTGACCCATGATGATTCTTCCTTACTCATTGTAGCTCAGACAAGCCAGGAGCATTCAGCCCACAGGCTGCAAATGGGAGATATCTATGAAAGCTAAGAAGGGTTATAATTGAAATAATTTGTGTTTTTCTGTCTTTTGTCTTTTGTTTGAGAAAGGGTCTTGTCATGTAGTTCAGGCTGGCCTGGACTTACTGTGCAGCTCAGGCTGGCCTCAAACTTTCTGTCATCCTGCCTCAGGCCTCCCAAGTGGTAGAATTACAGGCATGGACCACCATACCTATCGGTTAATTTTTTTAAAACAGAAAACATTTAAAAAAATTGTTACTCTTATGTATATGCTTTGCATTGCTGGGGATAAATTCAGACAAATTTTGTTATATTAATCTTTGTAA